TTATGCTATTGATAACGAAGGCTATAAAATGTGTACAACTTAGAAACTAAATCTTATGCGTACTTATCTGTATTCATAACCCAATATCTGAGGTAGGTTGATGTGCTCCTTAGTTTTTATATAGTTCGTATTATTCTTTAATAAATTAAATCCAATCCAAAATATACCATAATACCATAGCAAAGCTACTACTATTTTCTTTAGTAGTAGGCATCTAGGTACGAATGTATATATTACTACTTCATGTCACAAAGTAACGATTAGTTTCGGGTGGCCGAGCCAAGCCCAGCCGAGTCGAGCTTGTGATATGAGGGTCGGAAGTGTGCATCTTTCGCAAATATTTTCAAAACTGTTTTATTCGTTCCTAGTGGAAAACGCCGACTTAGAAATTATATATAAAAAAAAATATGAGTAGGTCTCAGGTTAGGTTAAATATAAACAAATATTTGCCAAGTCCGAATCGGACTTTCGAGCTTCCGTACCATCGTACAAGATTTAATATAGTAGGAAACCCTTTAATTTCAAATTTATTTTTACTATTTGTTGTTATATCTGCAACAGAAATACACGTTCTGTGAAAATTACAACCATTTACCTATTACGGATCATGAGATACAGCCCGCTGACAGACAGACACACGGACAGTGGAGGCTTCGTAATAGGGTCCTGTTGGTTACCCTTCGGGCACGGAATCCTAAAAAGTACTTAGTTGTCCACTCACGTCTTTATGGTTCCTTCTTCAAAGGACCATATTAGACACCTGCCTGGCTCTCGTATCCGCAGCTACCAACATAACCAGGGCGATACAAGAGGCCCTCAACGCTGCCTCTACGATCGTCCCGATGTCTACAAGGAGAGACGATCTGCCGCGACACATTAGCGTGCAGATCAGGAGAAAAAGGGCGCTAAGGAGAGTCTGGGCGCGTACTCGCTGCCCGAGAATCAAGACGCAATTGAACATCTTGTCGGAGGAACTGTCGGTTGCAGTCCAGGCACATAGAGGAGATGCCTGGGAGCGGCGTATATGGAAGGCGGAAGAGCATGATGCGTCGCTCTATAAACTGAACCGACAGTTAACTAAAGCCAAACCTCCCGTTTGCCCGCTGACCAACAACGCGGGCGAACGTCGTTACGATGCCGAGGGTAGAGCGGATATCCTAGTAGAGCACTTCGAGGAGCAATTTTTGCCGAACCCAGCAAGTGCGGAGTTCTTGGAGCTTCATGCCCAAAAGGAGAGTCGCGTACAGGAGTTCCTGTCGTCGCCCGCGCCGCCTCTTGCAGGAGAGTGGTTTATCTCCCCCGTTGAATTGCGGTGGACAGCAACCCGCCTGCAACCGAGGAAGGCGCCGGGGCACGATGGGATTACCAACGCTGCACTCCGACAGCTGCCCCATAGAGTCCTAGTAGAGCTTGGTTGACTCTACAATGGGATATTGCGGACATCCCACTTCCCGGAGGACTGGAAGAAAGGCAAAGTGATCGTCTTGCCGAAACCCGGGAAGGACAGGCGTAGAGCTGCCAGCTACAGGCCGATCACGCTGCTACCACACATAGCTAAACTGCTTGAAAGATTGTTGCTAAGACGCCTCCGCCCGTGCATCCAACTTCGGGCGGAGCTTCGGAGTGCTGCACCTGCTTGCGGCCGAATACAACCGTGGCCGCACTACGTTGGGCGTCTTTCTCGATATCGAGAAGGCGTTCGACAGGGTGTGGCACTCTGGACTACTCTATAAACTAGAAGAACAGACCAGTGTCCCTCCTGCTATGTTGCGGCTAGTGGCGTCTTTCCTGGCAGACAGGAAGTTCTACGTCTGCGTAGAGGGCGCCGAGTCCGCAACTAGAACCATCAGAGCCGGCGTTCCTCAGGGCAGCTGTTTGTCTCCAGTCCTTGTACGCGGCTTATACCAACGATATCCCTACCCTGGCAGGAAGGCTGCAAGAGTGGGAGGATGACGTGGAATTGGCGTTATACGCGGACGATAGCGCTTATTTCACCTCGTCCAGAAGAGCCCACATTGCCACTGCCAGGATGCAACGTCTCCTGGACCTGCTGCCACCATGGCTAGATGAGTGGAGGATGGTCGTCAACGTTGGTAAGACGACCGCTCTGCTCACTCGCCGCCTCAGGAACCTACCACCTCAGCTAACCCTCAATAGCCAGAAAATCGCGTACGAGAAGGCCGTGACCTACCTTGGGTGCCGGATTGACCTGGCGCTGCACATAACTGCGCACGTCGACCTCGTCGTCCGCAGAGCACGATGTGCGCGGGCAATGCTCCGTCCGGTCCTGGCATCCAAGTTACCACTTAACACCAAAGTGCGAGTCTACAAAACGTATATCAGATCCATCATCACGTATGCTGCTCCGGCCTGGTACGCGCTTCTGAGCGAGCCTCTGAGGCGGCGACTGCAGGCCCAGCAAAATTTGGCGTTAAGAACCATTGTCGGTGCAGGTCGCTACGTCCGGAATGACGTCATAGCGGCTAACCTGAAAATTGACACCATCCAGGAGTTTGTGGCCCGGTTGGCGCGCGGATTGTTCGACCGTGCAGACAACGTGCCGCACATACAACAACAACCTAGCGCCGCTACACACTCTCCCTCCGGACGGGCGACCCTATCCAAGAGAACTCTACTCTATATCGATTAGAGAGTCGAGTAACAACCCACAATGCCGCTGATAGGCCAACTTTGACTTCACTGGATAACCTCTTTTTTTTCGTAGTCTAACCGACTACGAAAAATCAATTTGTAGGTGTTGTATACGGACAATTCCGTATACAACACCTACAATGCCATTAGAAGTCTCCCAGGACCGGTCCATAGTGGTGGACCGCGAGGATAACGCGGGTAATGGGGGCATACCCCGAGGCCCGAAACCTGCAGGACATACCATAGTCCTAGCGGAAGACATCAACGCTCTCGTATGACATGACCAATATAATACCCGGACTGAACTCTCTTAGTTTGTTTCGGCAGATTGGGTGCTTCTTCTCAGTTTCATGTTTTTGTCGTGTTAAAGTGTATTTAAAAAAAACTACTTACAAAACTATTGATAAGGAGGTGAAAAACACCACATAGTCCCCTAAAAACAAACCAAAAATTTTATTTGTTCATTGACTGCCTTTCTGAGATTCTTATGTACTTACATAAATTGGATTAGGTATATTAGGATATTAGATACCTATTCGTAAGCACGATTATCGAAAATCTAAAAATTACATATTCTAATTAAATTAATAGATTATTTTAAGATTTTCGATAATCGTGCTTATCAATGAGATGTTTTCGTTAGTTAGCAAATTAAAGTTAAGTAGATAATGTACTACCTGTATCGAAAGTTCATTATTATGTACCAACCTGTTTTCAATTTTAACTAAATGTGCTTCAACAAACTTATGTGTACATTTCAGCAGCTATATTCGGCCCGGCTTCAGCAGTGGACACGAACACAAGGAAGCAATTTTTCTAAATGAAGATGTAGATATGTAGGTATTACAACCATAAATAGATAGCAGGGGCTAACCTAGTGAGTCTGTGTGAGTGCGGGCTGCACCCCCCCCCCCTCCGTCCGTCCCACAGCTCGGTGAGGCAATTTGTGGCGAAAGGCAAGATGTTTTATAACAAAAACGAGCGCGCGAAATTTTATAAACAGACCTTTGGGAATCTGGATATCACAAAAAATCTATTGAATGTATCTGCTTCATATAAAACTATTTGCATTTTTGAACAACTAATCTATCCCTGTATTGTAACTGTTTTGCAATTTTCGTTAACAACATAGATTATAATGATAAGAACATAGGATATAGAACGACGAGTGAATGCGGGAAATAGAGTAAATGGGGCCCTGCACTCTATTGTGAAGAGTCAAAATGTGTCAAAAAAGGCACGTATGGCAATTCACAATGCTGTGTTGGTCCCTACTTTAACGTATGGTAGTGAAAGTTGGGTGTGGCAGAAGAAGCACGAGAGTAGAATCAACGCAGTAGAAATGCGGTCCTTAAGGAGTATGTTAGGGCTGAATCTGAACGACAGGGTAAGAAATTGTGTAATAAGAGAAGAGTGTGGTTTGCAAGATGATGTTGTGACCAGGATTAAGAAAGGAATGCTTCGGTGGTTTGGTCATGTGGAAAGAATGAATGAGGAAAGAGTGACAAAGAAAATTTATGTTGCAGAAGTGAATGGCAGAGTCGGAAAGGGACCTCCTAGGCGAAAATTTATCGACCAAATTGGCGATTTATTGAAAACGGGCCAAATTAGGAGTACCCTTAACCGACGAGCATGTATGCGTAGGTGTATGGATGTGAAGGAGGCGAGAGAGGTATGTCAGGATCGTGCCAAATGGAAGTCTGTAGTCTCTGCCTACACCTCTGGGTGACAGGCGTCAGTGTTTATGTTATGTTATGTTAACATAGATTAGAATTAAACAATCAAAGATCAAACTGAAATTGGTTTTGGCTGAAATTTGACTGCCTGTGGATTGTTGCTCCTATACTATTTCTATATTAATGGTTTGAAGTGGATTTTGACACTTAATAATGACACAATTTTGTCTAGTAAGTGTAGTTAAGCACATTTGAAGTATTAGTGAAAATGATGTTGAAAGGGATCGATGGTGATTTATCTCAAGTTTTTTTTGCCACTTTGGGTTCTAACCGTCATCAACTGTTTTACAATTTTTTGTGGGATTACTAACACGTTTAGACCATTTAACCCAACTAACACGTCACATTTCAAATCCCACGTTGTGAAGAATTTAGCGAATAAATTACACGAAAGCCAGGCTGTATGGCCTATAACCGTTGTCTGCTTTAATTTGCAAATCGTAACAACAAGAACAAAAATCAAAATGAATCTGACATTCTGTTAATAAATTTATTTATCTATGTTCATAAATTCTGACAATTGACGACAGTGAAGTTTTACAGAGAATTCATTCTGTTTTTCATTTAGTAAACAATTCCATTTTTGAAAACATCAAAAGGATGGTGGGCGCGATGCCTGTTAATTTAATACCAAAATTTTGCAACGACACTATGGACAGTTGTAACGGTGTGGAAGATGAAATGCAAGTGTCTATTGGTAGTAGGGTGAAAAGTGGTTATGATTTTGGCACAGTTAAATATATTGGAGACGTACAGGGATATAAGGGCATTTGGTATGGGGTGGAATGGGACAATCCTGCTAGAGGCAAGCATGATGGATTTGTCGATGATATTCAATATTTTAAAACTACGAAACCAGGAGCTGGTTCTTTTGTGCGTCCCAACAAAATATCACCATTTAAAACTTGTGCGGATGCAATTCGGAAGTATTATGGAGATCGTGAGGTATGTTTTATGAATTTACATATTGTTTTACCTCTGTATTTATAAGAAAAAAAAATCGTGTTCTAACACCCACACAGTATTACAAATATTTTATATATTATTGTGTCTGTTAACAGTTTGTCGTTTTATACTTATTTCGGTTATAAATACTTAGCATTTTTTCTTCCTCAACATACTCTTATTTAACTTTTGTTTTTGTGTGCCAAGTAAAATAAGAGCAAGGCTAAATTAATTTTTAATATCAGCGGCAAAAGCTGGTTAAATTGTTTATAATAATAATTATCTTCTAATTCTGAAATTGGTGTATTAGCTTATAGAAGAATTAAAGTCCAGCCTTTTTTTTCTTTTTTTTTATAGAATAGTGGTGACAAACAAGCACACAGTCCGCCTGATGGTAAGTGTATGCTGTGGCACATAGACATCTATATTTATTCTCGATTAAGAAACAAAACGCAGGATCGTTGTCACCCCTGAGGACTAAGCTGGAATGCCTCATTTCCAGTAAAAAAGGTCTCCGGATCTCCACACTCACCATATGAAACACATCAGTATTTAGCCTCTATTTTACACTATGAAATCTATGTAGTTCTTTAAAGTTGGCTTTAACTTTTTTACCCTATTGAGTGGACAAAGGTATATATCACAATCTCAATGTCTTCTAAGTAGTTACATACAAAACTCCATCCACTATTTTGTCATCCTTTGGGGTGGGGTTTCCTTTCTACAAATTTATATGGGGCCACCCTGCAGAATAACTTTTTTAATAAAACAAAGAATAAAAAGGAAAAATAAAATCAGTTCTTAAGAAATTAGCAATATATTGTGTAACATACATACATAAAAAAGAATATAAAGCTGACACTTCATCAAAAATAGAAATGGACTTAAAACAAAAATTACAAAATAATTTTCTGATAAATGCTTTTAAAATTGATGTAAAGCCATTGAATATAGAGAAATTATAACCTTTTTTAATCCCCTAACACTAACAGAAGGGTGTTATACGTTTAGGATGTGTTTAATCTGTGTACTTGATCGAGAGTGTTCTTAGTTATGATTTAAGGAAATCCTCCAAAATTAAGTCGTTTTGGAGATCATCAGCTTATTTTGTTTCGAGGGATTTTTAAAATTAAGTTATTGTCACTTTTAAATGGACTATGTAATATTGCAAACTTATGTATTACGAGTGGTTCACACCAGTAGTTGAATGGCGGATTCAAACCCACGACCTTTTTGAGTTCGCGGTCAGCGCCCTGCCATTAGGCTACTATCGCTTCAATGTTAACAGGAATTATGTATTTAAATCAGTTCGTAATTGATGAATATATATAACATACATAAAGAAGGGGGAAAAGCACTTGTATTGAATACTTCATTTTGAAGTTGATCAAAAAGTTGAATAGAACTCAATTTTTTTATTCGATGTAGACTCTACAAATAAAGGGTTGTTAATTAATCATGTGAAGTTCGAACACAGGGGAGGGAATCAAAAATATCACTATTAAGCATAATATGTAATAATGTGACTATCACATATATCTTTTCATGTGCCAAAAAAATGTAATTTAATGTGTGATGATTCAAAAAATATCTCATTATTTCAATAATATAAAATACATGTGATGCTGGTTGCCAACTCGCCCGTCTAGCATGACAACTATGGGAAATACCCCCTATAAGGCAATCTATGGAGGAGGCCTATACTCAGTTTTGAACTTTAGAGAGGCTTTAATGATGATGACAAACACAATTTTAGTTTTAGTTTAGTTTACGACGGGCTGTTTTCCGCAACTCCACGTCTAAGCGCGTATTTTGCGTGTGGGCAGGAATAATATGCTTATTCGAGCCATGATATCTCCCCGAAGAAGCTCAGCAGTCCCTTGATGTTGCAAGCAACTTCGGGGAGCGATCCCGGCGTGCCGAGATGTTTAGGCCTGTATGAAGCGACTTCTGGACATGTCAGCAACACGTGAGCCGCCGTTTCTTCCTCTCCCATGCATGCCCTGCACAGGGGGCTGTCAGTAACACCTATGGTGAACAAATGTTTATTAAAAGAGCCATGTCCTGTGATAGCACTAGTTACTATCCTGATCTGTGGCTTGTTCAGTCTCATTAGAACCTTGGTTAGACGACTGTTTATTTCAGGTAGGGCCTCCCTAGCTTGTCAACAGTCTACAAAATTTTTCCAAAGCTGAGCGTGTAAATTATTGAAGTATCTACGTACCAGTGTACGAACATAGCTAAAGGGGATTGGTATTATTGGTTCCGGCCCTATAGTTGCTAGGGCCGATCCCCTTTTGGCCAGTTCATCTGCTGCATTGTTGCCTCTAGATCCACTGTGTCCCTTGATCCATTGCAGTTACATTGTTGTGCTTACATACCTCATTCAATCATTGATGGCACTCGTATATCAGTCCCGAGTTCGTAACATTGTAACTTAGAGCTTGTAGTACCGCCATACGGGTCTGATGGAGAAGTCTTTCACCTTTCTAGCATCTATTGCTATGGCCGCTTGGATGATACCCATGCATTCAGCATGGAAGACTGTGTTGTGGGTACCCAGCGGTATGCATATGTGGATATTAAGGTCTTCAGAGAAAGCCCCTGACCCCACACCTTCATTTGTCTTAGAACCATCCATGAAAACTTTGAGCTCTCTTGGACCCAATCCTTCCAGATTGTCAGTTTCCTTCAATTGTATCCTGTACTTCTTATCGAATACAAATTGTTTTGGGATCCTATCATACTTGGCTTGTAAGATAGGAATTTTTGAGTAAATTCTATCGATTATATCTGTATGGGGGACTCTACTCTTACTTAAAAGATTTAGGGTCTTGAGTCTAATGGCAGCTAAAGTTCCTTCTTGTTGTATATGTAGATGAAGCGGTGTTAGCTGCAGCATAGCCTCCAAAGCTGCTGTTGGTGTAGTCCCTATGCAGCTTGTGGCAGCCATACAAGCTAATCTCTGGTAACGCTGAAGTTTTTGTATAGTGGTGGCTTCATTGGTTTTGGTCCACCATACCAGAGAGCTGTATGTGATCATGGGCTGAATTACGGTTTTGTACAGCCACAGTATAATTTTTGGCGTTAAACCCCATCATTTGCCTATCATGTTGCCAATTCATGCTGATTTTGTTTTCTATGTGTTTGTTCCAGTTAAGTTTACTGTCTAAGATAAGACCTAGGTATTTTACCTCGGAAGAAAGTTGGAGTTTTGTGCTGAAAAGACTTGGAAGAAGACAGTTATACAGCATTCGTTTTTGTGTGAACATTACTATAACCATTTTATTTGGATTAACAGTTAGGTCATATTCCCTGCACCATATCTCCACAATACGGAGAGCCGCTTGGGTCAGGTTGCACACAATGCTTGCTGTCTTACCAGAGACCAGTATTGTCAGATCATCTGCATAACCGACTGTGTAGAAATGGTTAGCGTTTAATTTGCTGATGAGTTCATTAATGACCATATTCCACAGGAGAGGTGAAAGAACCCCACCCTGCAGGCATCCTTTCATGATCTGAATTGTCTGAGATTCACCAGCAATCTTTATTGTTCGTGTACTGAGCATGTTTACTATCCAGTCAATCAGTGCCGGTTCAACATTGTGTCTACTAAAAGCACCTTCTATGTCTATGAAGGAGTCTGGACATATTGCTTTGTTTTGGATGGCCTCTTCAATCTTTGTTATTACCTGGTGAAGTGCCGATTCTGTTGATTTACCTAAGCTATGGGCGTGTTGTTTTTCGTGTAGCGGTAAGTTAATTAGCGCCGACCCTCTCAACTTCCGTTCATACATCCTCTCGATCGTCTTTAGGAGAAAGGATGTGAGGCTAATAGGTCTGTAGGATTTAGGGTCTGTATAGTCGTTCTTACCTGGTTTGGGTATGAACGTGACTTTCACTTCCCTCCATCCCCTAGGAACATATATAAGAGCCAGACATGCTCTCATTATGGCAACAAGTCTGACTATTAGGACTTTACCCCGCCCCCCCTCCCACTGTAGAAATGCCGGGAATAAGCCGTCAGGTCCTGCTGCCTTATAGGGTTGGAAACTATGAATGGCCCAATGGATTTTGTCCATCGTCACCACTCTTTGTGCTAATTCCCAGTCTTCTTTTGTTGGTGTCAGTGCATCTTCATGCCGGTTCACCCCTTCAACTACACAGCAACCTGGGAAGTGAGTATCAATTAGGATGCGTTGGGTTTCATCCGGCGATATTGAGTAGCTTCCATCGGTTTTCTTTAAAGAGATATATCCCGGCGTGTTCTGTTTAGCTAGGATTTTCCTTATCCGATTTGCTTGTTCACAGGTTTTTATTTGCGCCACCCTGTTGAGCGTCGATACCTGATACATTTTTTGTATTCAGACTTAGCTTTCTTATACAGAAGCCAGTCTTCATCTTTTGAGGTATTCATTGCCCTATTTAGGGCCTTTCTTACCTTCTTACGTTTCCTGTCTAGTTCTTTACCCCACCACTGTTGCTTTTGCTCAGCATGTTTTGGTGGAGTGATTACTGGTACTGATTCATGATAGCTATCGATCGTGGCAACCACAATATTATAATATATATATATATATATACATTATATAATGACAAACACAATATTGTTGTGCGCCACAGTTAATGTTTGGTACATGGTACTAGCGCCATCTATTATCGAATAGAAGAACTAAGCTTTCCAGATAACTCCGCACTTGAATTTTCTACGTCGGGACGGGTTTTTGCTTGAACATTCTAGATGTTTCGGTGGAAAAGGCCTATATAAAGCCGTTTAGGGCCGCGACCGGAGCAGTATTGAATTGGCGATACAAGCGAAGCTTCGGAGCGAAATAAAGTGAACTAAAGTGATCAGTGTGATTAATTATTAGTGTGTTTTAAGTTTTAATTGGTGTTCGGCAATTAAAGTGTCAATTTTGGTAATTCAATCGGCAGTTTTTATTGTCACGAAACCTACTCTCGTAACAATATGTATATCCATTGTTGGTTAACCAATTTATGCTAACATTTTTGTCTATGGTATACTTTCACCATGACTGCATATAAAATTAATTATTAGTGTGTTTTAAGTTTTAATTGGTGTTCGGCAATTAAAGTGTCAATTTTGGTAATTCAATCGGCAGTTTTTATTGTCACGAACCCTACTCTCGTAACAATATGTATATCCACTGTTGGTTAACCAATTTATGCTAACATTTTTGTCTATGGTATACTTTCACCATGACTGCATATAAAATTAGGTTTTATTTAAAATTATTGTTTTTGTTTTAAATCATTCGATTGTGTTTTATTTATATACCTACTACCCCTTTTAGTAAAAATCTAGTCTAAATGGCTTGGTATAATTTCAGGACGAAACAGTGGCCGCACATCGTAGAATGGTGATCAATGAGTGGAAAAGAGAGATGGGAGCACCTTTCATTGAAATGGTTGGATTTGAAAAAATACACCAGAAGCAGTAAGTATTGCATTTTATTTTAATTTATATTAGCATGAAATAATTGATGTCATATTCAACACACAATTTATTTTTCCATTATACCCACATAAACAATTTAACTAAAGAGTGGTTTAGGCAAGCTACAAGTTGTCATGAAAAGTGATATCCGCATTTAAAAACAGAATGGACAAACAAGTAAATAAGGACAACAACAAATGCGAAACTAGGATACAGGCACGAAATACATATAACTACTTATAGAACAGCCACTCACTTCTCCGCACTCATTTCAAATACCGCACCCCACCCCGTACTTCGTTGTAGACAACACTGACACTTGAACGAGGGCGCGCACGATTGGACGAGCCTGACGCGAACACCCGATTACAATTTAAAAGATAGGGTCCTATAATTGTATTTTAATTACAATGATTATATGTGGTGTTGTATTTGGATGTCTTTCTACTACAAGGAATTATAAAAACAAGTTTCTTTCGGTTCCTATTATACATTATTATATAATATGTATAATAGGATATATTATATTATAATAGGAAATATATAATATATAACTATATAGTAATAATCAAACTGAATAATATAAAACCGGCCAAGTGCGTGTCGGGCCACGCTCAGTGTAGGGTTCCGTAGTTTCCTGTCCGTCACAATAAGTGTTCCCACTTATGAGTTTAAAGGTGGGTATCCATTATGTTCGCGCTCCAGCAGCGCTCCGCGCTCCTGCAACTGCTCCCGGTAGTGGGTACTGTTGTTTCGATCCAAGTTCAAAATGATTTTCCTAGAAAGTCCTTATAAAGTTCTACTTTTCAGATTTTTTTCATATTTTCTAAACTTATAGTTCAAAAGTTAGAGGGGGGGGGGGGACACACATTGTTTTTTACTTTTGGAGCGATTATTTCCGAAATTATTGACATTATCAAAAAATCATTTTAGTAAACCCCTATTAATTTTTAAATACCTTTCCAACAATATATCACACGTTAGGGTTGAAATTAAAAAAAAAATCACTTCCCACTTTACATATAGGGGGGGCTACCCTAATAAAACATTTTTTTCCAATTTTTATTTTACCACTTTGTCGGCGTGATTGATACACATATTGGTACCAAATTTCAGCTTTCTAGTGCTAACGGTCACACAGATTAAGCGAGGACGGACAGACAGACATGGCGAAACTATAAGGGTTCCTAGTTGACTACGGAACCCTAAAAAAGGGATGTTTTGAAAGCTTTTTATTAAATTATAAAGTCAGCATTTTTTTTTCATTCATTTGGTTAGTCATATTTACAAAAAAATGTAATTAAAATATTATTAGTACGGCTGTCAGTGGCTGTCAGTCGGCTGTGCTCTTGTTTGTCTCACATTTCAGAAAAATATATGCAACGAAATATAAATGATTAAATAATTAATAATAAAATAATTAAAGAATTTAGTGATTATGAGCGGAATGGAGTAGTAAACATTAGGTATTTACTAGATTCAATAATTAAATTTTCATGTATTCTGTTCCTAAAATTAAGACTGGCAACCTATATGTCTAATCAAATCAATCCATACCATCTGGATAATTGGCGGGCCACCACTGTGCTATTTACAAGAAGTTTTCTTCCTCGCACAACTTTTTTCCGGACCGATATGACTTAGGGACCTTCAATATAAGAGCCTACTCCTCTTTAAAAGGCCGGAAATGCATCTGCCCCTTCTCTTATAATAATAAAAAACGGTGGGATTGTATATATGCTGTTATTTTAACTTTACTTACTTTAAATAATTAAAGGGTGGGTATAACAGCGGTATATTAACACCATACTAAAGGAATTGTACGGCGTGAGACAACTTATCCGAATGATTAATTGCTATATATTTAGACTATACTTAACAATGTTTGCCAATCTATAACCTACCTAGCATTTAACAATCAAAAACCATTGAAGTAATATGTAATATGTGCTAGAACATGCACCACAAACAAAATCAGTACGGCAGCGTATCTCTTCTAGTACATAGTACATTTTACTTCAATGCCAAACACATGGAATAAGCCAGCGTACAGCTGTAGTGTTTTGACGTACTTATGACATTCCATGTCGGGTTTGATTTACGTATTGTTACATCTAATAGTTAAAAAATACTTTTATAACTTCCAGAAAGTTTGACCGTCTGCTGGAGGTATGTGTGCACGACCAAAATGTGTCCAAAGCGGGTGACGTTGCATCTTTATGCCCTAACGTACGCAGTCTAGATGTATCACGCAATTTGTTCTCAAACTGGCGTGAAATTATTCAACTATCCGCCCAGTTGCCGGATCTAAGGGAATTGGATGTAAGGTGCGTCATTTATTTTTAATTGTTACACTTGGTGAGCTGCATAGCAACAGTAGTCTTATTTGTGATGATCATTTTCCTTTTAATAGAATGAAGTTTGTAATATGTTTAAAGTTAATTTTGTATTAAGTATATGAGAATTTTATTTTCATGTTACTTTCATTTTAAGGTTAAAACCAACTTAGGTGGAACCTAAGTGATAGTAGTAACACTGTATTTTAATTACTAGTTTTGTCCCACTGTGTTCCCGCCGTGATATTTTTTTTTGATTTCTTGGAAACTCGCCAAAATTCTATCTTTGCATTATTATTGTTAATTGTTATATTTATTGGACTATTCACTTTTTCTACACTTAACAATAAATATACTTATGTCGTGTAGGCTACGGTACATAATTTTTATATGTGGTAGAGCCACACTACAGTTATATCATGGTTGTAGCGAATGGGTCGACTTAACCTGGAGGAGGACCATGCTCTCACAGAATACCAGTGTATAATAGCAGCTTAATACTGCTGTGTTTCGTTTGTCATCCAGTGTTATAAAAAATACCACCAGGTCAACTGTAAGTTTGTTTGTCACTATCTGTGAGTTCAATATATAAAAATTGTTTGTCAGCATTTAGTTAAATTTGTATTTATGTAACACTTTAATAATGAGGCCCAATAATCTCACATTCACCAGATGTCGCTAGTTTTTTTTAATACGATAATGGTGACAAACGAGCACACAGCCCCCCCTCAAGGTAAGTGGATTCTGTGGCCCATAGACATTTATATTTAACTTCGATTAAGAAACAAAAGGTATTTAGTTTTCAGAAAAATCTCTGAAAACTAAAGTGTACAACCAGTGCGTGTTGCTAGTGATGACTTACGGTGATGATTTGAGACATGGTCCTTCACTGCTGGCCGTATGAGGACGCTCAAGGTCGCTCAGCGAGCTATGGAGAGGGCTATGCTCGGAGTTTCTCTGCGTGATAGACTCAGAAATGAGGATATCCGCAGTAAAACCAGAGTGACCGACATAGCCCAACGGATTAGTAAGCTAAAGTGGCAATGGGCCGGCCATATAGCTCGAAGAACCGATAACCGATGGGGAAGAAAGGTTCTCGAGTGGCAGCCTCGTACCGGTAGGCGTAGTGTAGGGCGACCCCCCACTAGATGGAGTGACGACCTGGTAAGACATGCAGGATGTCGGTGGATGCAGGTGGCTCAGGACCGTGCTTTGTGGCATTACTTGGGGGAGGCCTATGTTCAGCAGTGGACTTGTGAAGGGCTGTAATGATGATGATGATGATGATGAAGAATCAAAATGCAGATGCGTTGTCATCCTTGAGGACTTAGATGGAATGCCTCGATTCCAGTAAAACGGGTCTCCGGTTCTCTATACTCACCATACGAAACAGCAGCATTAAGCTGCCATTTTACGCTGGTATTCTGTGAGAGTGTGGTGCTTCTCCGGTCGAGCCGACCCACTCGTGTTACAACCATGATATAGCTGCAGTGTAGCTCTACCTCATATTAGTTGGGACTGAGGTGAACTTATTTGTTACACAAATTATTACATAGTAATTATTATTGAAAAGTTGCAATTTAATTATGAGTTTTATAAGTTTTAATTCTACTGTTAGGAGTATCTGTAGTTTGGTGTATAAATTTTTAATCTAATTAATATAAAATATGACAAATTATTTTAGAAAGAAACTTAAATGGCAGCAACGTCATAATAACTAACCAATGAGTGCTAACAATCTTGCATTAGTTGTAACTAAGGTGACTATTTCGTTACGCAGATGATTACACGGTGTCGTCATCATTCAAAAGTTTTTCGATTTCTAGTGTATGTCTATATACAACATGTAACATAATTAACGCACATCCTGGAAGTAGTTTGTTCAGAATCGTTTAATGAATCAATTTCTATCATTTTTAATATAGGTAATTTTCTTATCCCAAAAATAATTAAAACTACGTAAATTACAGTCACACTAAATCTGTACAGTCAAACTGAAATGGACCGTAACTTAAGGCAATAAGACTTTTGAGAGTGTAGTTTTATTTGTATTATTACTAATTCTGTCATTCAATAAAAATAAAGAAAAATGAACCTTATTTCAAGAACGTTAGTCTTTGCGTTCGTGGATTTGTACTGTGACCACAACATTCTTCCGGAATTAGTATAACTAGTTTGATAAATAATCAGTGCATAAAAATGTTTAACTAAAATTCAGTTAATACATACACTGAATTTTTAGTTCAACATTTTTATGCACTGATTATTTATCAAACTAGTTATAGTAATTCCGGAAAAAACCTACATCCACAACGCAAAGACTTTAACATTTCATATATAACATATTTGATTATAACATAATATACTAATTGGGGTGTCTGAGGGTGTGCGTTAATTACGTTATATATTGTATACACAAAACAATGCCTCAGTGCTGTATTCTTTATTTTTTTACACGTAACTGTTTAATTCTTCTTCTTTAAAGTATATCCGTAGTTTGGAATAATCACTTCCAATCTAATTCATATATATACTTTTCTAACTAGATAACTTTCCCGCTATGAAATCTATCAAATATTTTACCTCATTTCTAAATGGCGCCGCCCTGGTGGTATATAAAATCGTGGATGCCATCATTAAAACAAACCTCGTTCAGCAGATTAATTAAAAACCGATTTTTGCAGCAAAAACCGCATGGCCATAGATATGTCAGAAGAAAAACTTTTACAACTGTCAGTCAATTTCGCCAACCTCGAGAAACTGAACATATCCGTGTGCGACTACGAATGGTCTGATATACTCGTTTTGTCTCACCTTTGGCCTAAAATAAACGAAATAATTGCCGCATATAATAGAATCAAAAAAATAATACCACCAGAGGATACTTTACATACCCTTACTATATTACGATTGGATGGAAACCCTATAGACTCCTGGTATGAAGTGATGAACCTTGGCAGATTAAAGAACTTGAAAGTTCTAAGCTTGAACGATTGTGAGATTGGGGAAATAAGATTCAACGATGACTTGGGTAAAGTGGAATTGTTTGAGAACTTGGAAGTGTTATTTTTAAACAGAAACAAAATAAACGATGTAAGTATTTTGCTCAAAACTTAAATGTGCTCGAATGTGTCATTGTGCCATAAAGAGAAAAAAATCCTCTCCTGCACATAAGCCTCCCCTATAGATTGTGTCGTAGAGCGATATTTGCCATAGTAACCACGCTTTGTAGGCTAGTTAGCTTCTACAGGTTTTCAACTTCAGTTACCCGGTCCAAATATTATTTTAAACCATCTAGGTACCCATTCAAACACAAAAAAATTCATCAAAATCGGTCAAGCCCTTTTTGAGTTTTAGTGAGACAGTAATTCATTTTTATATACAGGGTTATTTTTCAAACAGTAGTCAAATTTTAAACTTAAGTTCAAATATATGAATAATGATATGCCGGTTTTTGCAGTTGAAAATACGAGGAAATAAGGCTTCTACTTTTAACATAGAATACTGTAATACACAATAGAATCGCTGTCAAATTTATTTTGTACGAGGATTGGCGTCGCCAAACCCGATTCGCTGTGTTGACAGACTGAATAAATTTACACATTTTAGACTTTTGATTGATGTTCAAGATCATCATTAAAAAATCGTTTAAATTTTAATACATATTTATTTGTAAATAGGGTGCAATATTTTTTAAACGCGAAATTTGGAAACGATTGTAACGTCAAAACACATCTCGTGTTGACATTTATACGTGTGAATTGACGTGACGTGCTAGTGAAATTTTAGTGGCTATGCGGGCTCCGCCTACTCCGCCGTTCTATTACGTATGTTTTATAGTATTCTATGACTTTTAATTTGAAATTATCCCAAATTGAATGGGATTTATAGGCAACCCTTACGAATTGTGTAGTAAAATCGATTGAATTAGAAAGATAAAAAGGACAGAATGTTTGAGATCCTTTTTAGTTAATTTTGCTATATGCCTATATTACTTACTCTGAACCTTGGCCGGTTATTACAAAATAACCCTTGTATATATATATATATATATATATATATATATATATATATATATATATATATATATAAAAATATAATATACAGGATGTTACTGTAAACACCGTTATCCTTGAAACCAGTGGTTTGGATTCACTTATAGAACGTAAATTCAATGAATTAAAAAAACGCTATTTTCTTTCATAAAATTTAAAAGTTTCTGTCCAACACCGTCCGTAAATTCATGGATACCCTATGCGCCCGAGTGACGTAATCACTGTAAAGATCACCGCCCGCGCTAGCTACCTACACAACATTCCAATAAAAACACAATAGGTACACATAACTGTACATGTAACTTTTCGTTTATACTCTCATCCTGGCTTAGGACAGGCAAAAATTGAGGAATTAAGAAAAAATTTACATTTTACTAAAAAATGTTGTTATTTTTCATTGAATTTACGTTCTATAAGTGAAACCAAACCACTGGTTTCAAGGATAACGGTGTTCACACTAGCATCCTGTATATATATATATATAATATAAATTCTACGCGAAGGCCTATGTACAGCAGTAGATTTTGATAAAGGATAATAAAAATAAACATTATTCAAAATAATACAATTTTGGCATAATGTACCAACCTTTTATTTTTTCTGTAATGTAAAGTTCACATTCAGTGTTGCCATCACTGAATGTGAACTTTACTATAATAACAATATATTATTTTCGTTCCAGTGGCGGTCAGTGAGTGAATTAGATAAATTGAAAAACTTGAAGAAATTATATTTCCTGAGGAACCCAATACAGAACAGTGAAGACTATGATACCACATCTCAACTAGTTATAGCGAAAATTGGCTCTTTACAGGTAAGCTATATGAAATATTTAATAAAATATATTGTAATGAATATTTATACATACATATTTTAATTATAGTGCCTTTTTATGTTTATAATTACTATGTTGTTTTCTGCCTAGGAGTCCATCTACATAAATAAAATATAAAAACTCACGCCTGTCACCCAGAAGGGTAGGGAGAGACTACAGACTTCCATTTAGCATGATCCTGACATACCTTTCTCACCTCCTCCACATTCATATAGCTACGCATACATGCTCGTCGGTTAAGGGTACTCTTAATGTGGCCCATTTTCTATATATCGCCAATTTGGTCGATAAACTTTCGCCTAGGATGTCCCTTTCACACTCTTCCGTTCACATCTGCAACATAAATTTGCTTTGTCACTCTTTCCTCATTCATTCTTTCTACATGACCAAGCCACCACGGCATTCCTTTTTTAATCCTGGTCACAACACCATCTTGCAAACCGCACTCTTATCACACAATTTCTCACCATGTCACTCTGATTCAACCCTAACATCTAACGACAGCATTTCTACTGCATTTATTCTACTCTCGTGCTTCTTCTGCCACACCTAACTTTCACTACCATAAGTTTAACTAGGGACTAACACAGCATTGTGAAATGCCGTACGTGTCTTTTTTGACACATTCTGACTTTTCGCTATAGCGTGTACAGCCTCGCTACAGAAAGTTCTCTCGTCTTTCTGTATCCTTATCATATATCCCATCCCTGCTGAATACACATCCCAAATATGAAAAACTCATCTACTTGCTCGACCAACTCCCCTTTTATTCCTATTTCACATATCGTTTTACTTTCTTCTCTTTCAAAAACCATAACTTTCGTTTTACTTGCATTAACTTTCATTCCCCTTTTAGGAGTCCATCTGAGTAGGCTAAATAGACATGCTTGCAATATTGTTTTTCGGTCTGAAGCATAAAAAAGCCAGTGTAATTACGGGCTGTGAGGCATTCCATCCTAGTCCTCAGACATGACAACGCACCTGTAGCCTTCTTTATTTGAAGCTGGTTGCAGGTGTCCATGGGCTGCCGTAGCTACGTACCATCAGGTGGATTTTGAGGTTGTTTGTCACACAATTTTTTAAGAAATAATTATCACCATAAATATTTGATAACAAAATAACCTAGTACTCTGAATACCATTTTGTAGTTATTCTTTTTTTACTATGCTAAGCCAGCCCGCTTTACTGTATCCTACCTGATGGTAAGTGGTGCTGCAGCCGAAAATGGTAAAGCGTACTAACGTGACAAAAGCCTATTCACTCTTCCCTTGAAGACACTAACATTGTAATGAGCCTGAAAGACTGATACAGCTAATTGATTACACTACATACAGCAATGGAGTGTAGCAATTTGCTAGCATCTGTAGTTTTGTCCAATTACAATGTGGAAGTGTTCGAGAATAACTTTTGTTATACTATGATGTGTTATTTATTATATTGTAAAGCTTCATCACCACTTTGCACTGGATTCATCATCATCATTATACTTTTAAAAGTTCACTGCTGAACATATTGTTGCCACACTTGATAATTGTGAGTATTTTCATTTCGTATGGTGAGTGTCGAGAGCTGGAGCCCCTTTTTACTGAAAACGAGGCACTTACTCTACTTCCACTTACGCCTCAAGGGTGACAACGCATCTGCTTTTTGATACTTAGTTGAGGATGGATGTAGAAATCTATGGACTGCAGCATCCACCTACCACCAGGTGGACTGTGAAACTCGGTAGGCGAGTTGGAACTGCAGTATTTTTATTATTTTGATTTGTCTGCTATCTTGTCTTACAACATCTACTCATACCAAACGTGTTCGTACTGTAACCCATTCGTACTAAGTTTAACATATCAGAGGCAAGCTTCGATTTAACCTTAATATATTTTTTATCAACAGGAATTGAACGGGTCTACCATAACACGTGAACTACGCAGGGGCGCAGAATATGACTATTTGAAACGCTATGGAGCTGAATGGAAATTGGCGCAAAGCGACTCAACACGCAAAAGTGCCTTTGATTTGGAGCACTGTCGTTTCCAAGAGCTCATAAATAGTATGTTGTACTTGCTTCATATATAGAATAAGGGTGACACACGAGCATACAGCCCACCTGCTGGTAAGTGGATGCTGTGGCCCATAGACATCTACATTTACCCTGGAATAAGAATCAAAATGCAGATGCATTGTCAGTTCTCACCCGTGAGGACTAAGATGAAATGCCTTATTTCCAGTAAAAAGGGTCTCCAGTTCTCTACGCTTACCATATGAAACAGCATGAATTAAGCTGCTATTTTACCCTGATATTCTGTGAGAGTGTTGTCTTTCCCCGGTCAAGCCGACGCATTCGTGCTGTTACCATAATTTATCTGCAGCTTCTCTCACCACGTAAATAAATCATTTGTTGTTATATATTTGTACATGGTAGAGCCACGCTGCAGCCATATATATATATATATATATATATATATATATATATATATATATATATATATAACACGAATGGGTCCGCTCAACCAGGGCGGGACCGCGCTCTCACAGAATACCAGCGTAAAATAGAATGTAGAGGACCGGAGACCCTTTTTAATGGAATCGAGGCATTTAATCTTAGTCCTCAGGTGTGACAACGCATTTGCATTTTGATTCGTAATTGAGGATAAATGTAGATGTCTATGGGCCACAGCATTTACTTACTATAAGGTGGACTGTGTGCTCATTTGTCACCCAATGCTATAAAAAAATAATACCCATTAAAAGAGTAAAATTACACGCACACTATCCTACACGCACTGGGCCAGCGCGGCGGACACTTCCTTGCCCTAAAACCCTCTCAGAAAAACTCCCACAGTAAACTTTTTTTACAGTCATCTGTCACTCTGGTACATGCTTCCTCTCATTTCTAAGATCTCTTTAAAAAACCACGACTATTTCTGATACCAGAATGGTGCCACTTTGTAATAAGGTGACATATTTGACAGATTTTATAGCGGTGAAGTTAATTTTTAGGAAAATGTAAGGGTTGACGTTTCTTTCTGAAATATTAATTTAATATTACAGTGGACCCCCGATAATCCGGCACCCCCTGTAATCCGACATGGTCTATTATTATTATTGATTTTTTTTGACAATCTTCTCTAATGCATGATTGAACAAGTTATAACTTGTATGCTCCACCACTACGAGGGGCACACTGAAATGATCGGGAATAAGAAAAACCACATGCACGGTAGCTAAATTGTATTTTATTGTTTTTTCGAAGTATTCTCCGTTCAGCTTGATGCACTTTTCCATTCGTGCAAACCAATAATTAAAACAGTAATTCCAGTCTGAAGTTGAATGGCTAATTTGTACGCTTCCACAGCTGCTTCGGGGTCTTCAAACCGTTGACCACGTAATAAATCTTTCATTCTAGGGAATGTAAGGAAATCGTTTGGGTCGTTCGGGTCAGAACTGTACGGAGGATTGCAAATCAGCTCAACGTTTTCTTGCTTCAAAACATCATTTGTCTTCCGAGCTGTATGGGAGCTCGCATTATCGTGATGTAAGATGATGCGACGTTTCGGTTTATTTTTTGGAGTTTGGCTATCATTTCTGGTAAACAAACCGTGATATACCACTCAGAGGTAACCGTTCTGCGTTTCTGTAAAGGAATTGTAGCAACATATATTTTTTTCGAGACTTTTTCGAGACAAACGTAGCGACCATTTTCTTTCCCACATTGCGGGAGCGAACCACTTTCGTTGGTTTGACCTCGTCTTCGAAGACCTAAACTGCTGATTGATGTTTTCTTTCAGGTTCGTATGAATAAATCCATGATCCGTCACCTGAGACGATATTATAAACGGCATTTGACTTCCCTCCGTTGAAGCGTTTCAGAGTATTTTTTTTTAAATATTAGTAATCCTATTAATTAACATTACTAATATTCCTTTAACCACTCCTGGTAAGCTTAAAACGCTTGTGTTAGGAGTGGTTCACGACAGTAGTCGAATGGCGGATTCGAACCCACGACCTTTTGAGTTCGCGATCTGAGCCCTGCCATTAGGCTACTGTCGCTTTTAGTATTCCGGCAACAATCTACACGAGCCGCCTTTTGCTCCTCGGACAAATTGTGGGGAACCCAGCGGGAAACTAGCTTTCTTACACACAGCTCATTATGTAATATCGACTGAATTGCAGTCATTCCGATACTGATAACAGCCTCAATCTGCTTGTATGGCACATGACGGTTATTTAATATAATAGTTCGCACAGCTCCGATGTTTTCGGGCGTAACCGCTGTTCTTGGTCGACCTGCAGAAGAAACAGTGCTGAGCGACACACGATTTTGTCATTGGATCAGTAATTTGTCATATTACCACTCTTTTGTAAAAAAATCCGGACTATCGGGATCTTAGGCAGTACTCTATAATCAGACAAATTCGATAGTCCGGCGCGGCCCTGCAAAATGTTTGTCGGATTACCGGGGGTCCACTGTAATTAGATTAGAACTGAATAAACCAAACTACATTCCTAAAAGTAGAAAAATTGATGACAGAATTAAACTGTGAAAAAATTTAAGAGGAAACCACTGAGGCATTATTTTGTGTGTATACATAATATATAATTCTCTAGAAACTGATAAACGCTTATCGAAAACTAACTTCTCAAGTAAATTATATTGTGTAACAAAGAAGCCGCATTGTGCGTGTGGGCGGACTTCACATGTATTAAAAATATTTTTTTTCTTAACCCCTCAGTTACCCCCCTGTTCGCCAAGCGAGCACGCGACATGTTATACTCCCGTTCGCTCGGGACCGTAATGGCGGGAAAATTTGCAAATTAGCAAATTTTTTGCTATATTGCAAATTTTGCTATATTTTCACTTTGAGACAATATTTATGGATAAAACTTACAGGAATTCTTGTTGAATGTATAAACTATCGAATAAAATTATTTTTGGTTGCTAGAAATTGTAATAAAATACGTAAATTACCCTGTATAGCATAGTAGTAGTATATACTTCAATTTCAGTGACAAAATTAGTCACTAATTACTAATTTGAATTCTACACTTTTGTTTTTAGAGAAATTTATATGAAAATGTTTGGAAATATGTATATTTTTATGTTTTATGTATTTCCATTCGTTACTCATACCAAAATATTAAAATATTAAAAAATTTAAAAAAAAAATAATAATATTTTATCTGTATGACATTTCGAACAATATTTCAAACAATTTTTGTGTGAATTTGAAATAAATACAACGTCAAGTTATTTGAAATATGTAAGAAAACTATTTTTACTTACATTTTACACTAAAAATAAATGAGAATTTGGAAAATAACACATTTATGACCCAACCGCCAAAATGGAGCTTCCGGATTTTGAAGTACTTTTGGCAATTTACTTTTCACTTTTTATACCACAAATTATATATCTACGTGTTTACTATATTACAAGGAATATAAAAAAAGTATAATACTTTCGTTTTTAGTCCAGACACAAATATAAAATTCTATAAAAAAGACGGAGCACCTTCATCAAAACGACACGTGGAACGCCGAAAGTTCAGAGTGATTTCTTTTTTTTTTTCTAAGAAACATTGCCAGGTTATGGTTTAAAATAAAAGAGCATATCTTTGTCTTTGATACTATTATCTATTGCATAGTGTCTTTGGTTTTGTTTAAAACGAAAAAATAGTTTTTTCATAGGTACACACGTTTACATAATTCTGATCTAATTAGCGCACTACTTGGCAAACGGAAGGATGGTATTGTACGATCAAAAGTGCGCATGGCTTGGTTAACAGGTTAACATTCTCATGAAGTCGCATGCGCCCAGCAAATCCCGAGCGGTTGCATGCGACCGCACCCACCCGCAGCACTTAAAACCATTAAAACTTATATTTGGAGACTAATTTTCTGTGAACAAGTTTGGCAATATAAAATCTATACAAAATTCTCGATATAAAAGTCAGGTTTTAGTTCATTACAAAAATACTATTGTATTTTGATAACAAGAACAAAACATACTAAGCGAATGTCGGCAGCGTGAAAATCACTATTATTTCAATATATATTACAGGAAATTATTTACGTAAAAAGGTAAATTATATTCACACAAAAACTTTGATTACAATTCTATAAAAAAATTATACTAAAACACTAGAAAAATCCAAAAATCAACATTCACGCGAAAATGGCCTACAAAATGAACGTAGATTATAAATAAATATCCATAGCATAACTATTTTTTATTGCACTAGAGGATAGAAAATTTAAATTGATTCTATAATGCCAAACTTCTTCATAAAAAAGTAGTCTCTAAATACAAGTTTTATTGGTTTAAAGTGCTGTGGGTATGCGCGGTCGAATTCGACCGCTTGAATTTTGACGGAATAGCGCCGCGGTCGAATTCGACCGCTTAGGGGTTGAAGGGTTAATCATGCCGGTTTCCTCACAATTATTTCCTTCACCGCTAATCCATGTTAAATCAGTATTTAAGATTGTTATAATTTGTTTTATTGGTAGGTACTGGCGGTTACTTGCATACTGTGAAATTTATTGGCTTTGCCTCTGAGCTACTAGGGCTCTAAAGATAACTTTTTTATGTCATATCTATAACTTCAAAAGGATTAAGTCGCTTTTCAAGAACAAAGAAGGAAAGATTATGTTTTATTAATTTTTATCATTATTATTAATATTTTATTTTAATTTCTCTTCCAGAATATGGCATTCCAGAAGACAGTTTGCTAGTCAAACAACCTAAAAATATGACATTAACATCTCAACTCTTAGAAATAATATTACGTGATGAAAGCGGTAAAATGTTTAAAAAGAAATTCCCATCTACAATGGCTGTCCAAAAGCTGGTCACACTCGCTCAAAGACTGTTTTCGAAGCCGGGCAACACTGGAACACCTACGCTAAATCTGCTCGATGATCAAATGCAAGGCGCTGAAATATGCCTGGATAATGTCATGAAAGATCTAGCCTATTATTCAATCAAAAATGGTGACAATATTCTCGTCAGATTCAGATAATATGTTAAAATTGAAATTCCGACGATGGTAATACTAAATAAAGATAATCGTTATCTTGATTGGCGCATTTTTTTTAATATTGTTTATATAACAATTGAAGCTTTGTAAATATCTATATTTAAATTGTAACTGTATTTATTGCCGATTTTATTTTCTGAAATAAATATGATACGTATTTTTATATGCAAGTTTTATTGGAACCCTAACCATTTAGCTAGTTAACATTAAAATTCAATTAAAAATTATGTACAATAATAACACATGTGACCTTTAACAGTCGTTTACGCTATAATCTACTGAAATGCTCTGAAAGAAACACCTGTAACCTTGGTTCTAAATTCTATTCTAACCTTTATAGTAAATTGACGTTAACGAAGTACGTTGAACAAAAATATATAAATAAAAATCAAGTTTAGTGGCAGTATATACTTTCTGATAGGTTTTTTTGTTAGTTTATTGGATTTTGTTAACCTGATAGATATTTTAATGATTACATTTTATAACTTTTTTTTTGTAAAAAAAATATTTTCTGAAATGAGGTTACATGCCGTGGAAATACTGGTCACATCGATCTCGATCGCTATTGGTAACCGTTGTGTCAACAGAAAAATAAATGTTTACAAATGGCTTCTGGCGACAAATTCAAAGTCACAAATTGAATTTTGTTATTTAAGCTTGGCTCAACTATTTTTAAAGTATAGTTAATTAGTGTTAAGTGATGGGCAATTGTTGGGCGATATTTCGTCGTCGTAGAATACGTCGTCATATTGTTTTAATATTAATTGGATTGGATAACGCGGGTAAAACGAAAACAGTGAATAATTTAGCCGGTGAAAAGGACGACAAAGTTTTGCCTACAGTTGGATTTAAAGCTGTAAATTTAATACACAAAGATACTCCTGTAACCATCTACGATTTAGGCGGCGGGCCGCAATTTCGTCAAATATGGAGTCAATATTACAGCGAAGTGCATGGTATAATATTTGTTATCGACTCGAGCGATTTTTCACGGTTGGACGAGTGCAAGGCAGTCCTCGAAGAGGTCTTATCACATGATAGAATATCAGGTAATTGAATTTAAATGGATTTTATAACTTTGTTTACTCCCACTATTTTACCTTTGTTATTTTCTTAAAAATGTTCATGACTAGATAACAACATCGCCATCCTCTCAGCTTATAAACAGACCTCCTCAGTATTATTAAGGTATTCTGCCAACAGACAGCTAGAGCGGTGGTACTCGATTAACTAGACAATGACTTCCCACAATAAGATTGGATATACTAGATGATTACTTTTATTGTCTGGAAAAAAATAAGGTGTAACAGGTGAACAGCTCATTTTCTTCTTTTACATTAACATAATAAATACTTTATAATTGGGTGCATATTATTTTAATTTCAATAGTTTTTAATAGATTTATTTATTTAGTTCAACATTTTCGTTTTTATTTTTTTACTATCGAAATTTTATTTCCAATTAGTAGTATTTATTAACAGATTTTCATTATATGTTAATTTAAAAGAAAATAAATTGTAAAATATCTGTGCCGTAGGCTTCTATTCCGTTCACCTGTGACATTCTATTTTTTTCCCCACATGGTGAAAAAGATCATCCAGTATATGTATGATACAGGGACTACAGACTACAAGGAAATAAATAGATAATGGATTGAGTATCTATTTACTATTCCATATTAAAAAGCATAAAGGATAACTTTTGAACTAAAAAAACCTACATTAGTTTAATCCAATGCAGCATTTTATGCTACTAGCTAGTATGATTTCTTTTCTAACTAGAAGTTGGTCTGAGGAGGCATCACCCTCTTACCTTTGACAGTGCGCAAATAGCAGTGCATGCACTACTGTGTTCTGTTCTAAAGAGTGTCGATAACCAGTATACTTTAAGACTGTGAGGCATTTCATCTTAGTTCTATACATGGTAGAGCCACTCTGCAGCCTTATTATGGTTGTAGCATGAAAAGGTAAACTCGACCGGGGAAGGACTACACTCTCACAGAATACCGGCATAAAATAGCAGCTTGATGTTGCTGTGTTTCATATGATGAGTGTAGGGAACTGGAGTCCCATTTTACTGGAATCGAGGCATTCCGTCTTAGTCTTCAAGGGTGATAACATATTTGCATTTTGATTCTTAATCGAGGTTAAATGTAGATGTCTATGGGCCACAGCATCCACTTAACATCAAGTAGACTATGTGCTCATTGGTCACCCTAATTCTATAAAAAAAGTTCTCAGAGGTGACAAAATGTGTAGCCTTATTTGTTTAGTTGGATGCAGAATTCCATGCACTATAGTATCGTCTTACCATCCGATGGACTGGATGGTAAGTTTATGTGTCAATTCAGTTTTTATTTAAAAAAAATCTTACTCATCTTACAAAAGTTGCACAGATTAGGCATGGTCTAGTTTAATATAAATAAATTATTAGTCTTAAAATCACAGGTTGATTTATGCTATATAAAATATATTGTCAAATTATGTAAAATTCATTCACTCATTATAAGCAACAATTTAATGTGATCACAAAGTCAGTATACTATAAAAATAAAATGTTACAAAAGTTTATTAATTATTTCCATATCATTGTGAAACATATATTTAGTTAAGCTTTAATATTTAAAATTTAAATCCATATGTACTCAACAAACTCATATAATTAAATATATAGTGCCCTGTTATCACAGAGGGGGTAGGCAGAGTCCAAACAGTAGTGTAAATATCCAACCATGTTTAGTAAAAGGAAAATTATGAAAGTGATAGGTATCCAATATCCCATTAGTCAGTTTTTATAACTTGCAAGCCGAGTAATACAGTTGTCATACTGTTTTCTTGTAAGTACTACAAACAATAGAAATGAATGAAATAAATGAAAGTTACAGCCTATATATGTCCCACTGCTGAGCACATGCCTCCCCTCATTTATGAGAGGGTTTTAGGGCGGGGAAGTGTCCGCCACGCTGCCCCAATGCGTGTTGGCGAACTTCACATGTCTTAGAAATATTTTTTATCTTATTCCTCAAACAAGATATGCAGGTTTCCTCACGATGTTTTCCTTCACCGCCGAGCACGTGGTAAATCAGCACTTAAAATTGCAATTAACAATTTCATTGGTGTCCGGGTTACTCGCGTTCTGTTATATTACAGCAAGCGTTAACCACCTGAGCTACCACGGCTCTAACAAACAATAGGGCCCTATTTAATCCAAGACCAACATGGGGCCTTATCAAATGTGCTATTTATTAACTAAATCTATGTTTTTGTGTACTATCAATTTTATAGACCTTTATTTTATAAAATTCAAGATAGACATGTGGAGTTTGCCTACACACATTGGGGCAGCGCGGTGGAGATTTCCTGCCCCAAAACCCTCTCAGAAATAATAATAATAACAATTTATTTGACTCTCAATTGACAGGTTACATTTATGTATTATATCTATTTTAAATTACATAATTACATTTCAAAGTAGTTGGCGTTAATGGCCATACTAGTATAGACTGTGTTACAGCCGTCAGCGTCTTCCACCCTAAGTAGTACCAAAACAAATACAGTAAAAAATGACAGATTATTTCGCTATATAATACATAAACATGTTAAGTTAAAAATGACAGGAGGTCGGGGCCTGTCCCCAGCAGTGGGACGTATATAGGCTGTAACTCTAACTTTTAACCTTAATTGATGAATGAGCTAGTAGCTAGCTGACCTGGCTACTGCAACCCATGGATACCCCAATTAACTTAAAAAAATAAGCTACACATACACTCAGATATATTTTAATTAGCTCAGAAGTCCGTAAAGAATGCTCCTATACAGGCAGAAAACGGATTAAATAAATATCATCAGTGTTTGAATGATCAACAAAGTCAATTTTCTTACTTTACTTTTATATCAATGTATATTCAAAATGTCACAAAGTAATGATAATAAAAGAAAATCAAGTTAACAATGCTTTCTACTATGAAAATATTGAAATGGACTTTATAAATATCATCATCATCATTACAGCACATTACAAGTCCACTGCTGAACATAGGCCTTCCCCAAGTAATGCCACAAAGCACGGTCCTGAGCCACCTGCATCTCTTACCAAGTCATCACTAGGGGCCCTCGCTACCACGAGGCTGCCACTTGAAAACTTTTCTTTCCCATCGGTTGTCAGTTCTTCGAGCCATATGGCCAGCTCATGCCATTGCCACTTCAGCTTACTAATCTGTTGGGCTATGTCGGTTACTATGGTTCTACTGCAAATATCCTCATTTTTAAGTCAATCACGCAGAGAAACCCTGAGGATAGTCCGTTTCATATTTCGTTGGCGAACTTGAGCTTCCTCATGCGACCAGCAGTGTAGGATCACGTCTCAGATCCATAAGTCTTCACTGGTAACACGCAGTGGTTTTACAATCTTATTTCGAAGTTTTGTTGGTTGTCGTCTTCCCCGCCGAGTTGAATCTTTCGATTAACCTCTCCGTCGAATTAGGACTAATCTAGTCGGACTAGTTGTCCCAGATATGCATACTCGTCAGCAACTTCGAGCGTAGTGCTCCTAACAATTACTGGCATAGCTGTGACATGAACGTTACTCATGACCTTTGTTTTGTCTTATGTTCATCTTAAGACCTATGCTTTGAAAGGTCCTCCAGCTATTCTGCCATTAGGACTATATCGTCGGTAAATCGAAGGTGAGTGATGACTCGCCATTGATGTTAATACCGTATTCTTTCCAGTTCAGTAGCTTAAAAACGTCTTCCAATGCAGCGGTGAATGTACGTCACCCTGTCTTACAACTCTCCACAGTTGGATAGGTTTTGTACTCTGGTTCTGTACTGTATCCCCTGATTATCACTAGATCAACGAGGCAGTCATTCGCCTCTTACGACATCTGCTGAACGAAATTGTTTGCTGGGTTCACTTACGCCTCCACCATACGGCAAACTTAAAATGCAGAAGTATTATTACGTGGTACTGTAACGCTGCAGA